CGGGCGCTCGCCGCCCTCCGCGGGGGGTCGGTTGCACTGGGAGTCCCGTCTCCGCAGCCAAGGTCTTGCAGGCTTTCAGGAGACGAGGCCCGGGAGACCCGCACCCAGAGCCCAGCCTGCGGCCCCGCGTCCGCGGCGGCCCCTCCCGCTCCCCACGCTGCGCGGCGCCTCCGGACGCCTCCGGCCTCACGCTGGCCCGGGTGGCGCTGCTCGTCTACCCCGTGCTCGTTCCTTCAGCTGGGAGGTATTTGGGGTCCCCTCATGCCCCCCGCCGCCCCAGGCTCTAGGGACGCTGTGGCGACCAGACAGACCCAGTGCCCGCTCGCAGCAGGCGCAGCAGGCGCGGGCTGGGGGAGGCTCCCCAAGTCCTCTTGCTTGGACGGGGTGGGGGTGGGATAGGATGGTCCCCTTCTGCTGGGGTGAGTAGGCGGTAGCTTTTGTTAGGTTAAGTTGTTCTGTAGCCACGTTGTTTTCCTGTCTTGTCTTTTTCTTTTCTTTTTTAAATATGTTTTTATTGATTTCAGAGAGAGAGGAAGGAGAGGGAGGGGTGAGTGAGGCAGACCGGGCTCTACTCCCGCAGGGCTCCCAGACCAGTGGTGCTGGAGGGGGCCAGGCAGAGCCGCCAAGGAAAGGGGGTGTGATACAGGGTGCTCTGTGGGCGCAGGGAGCCCCCTTACGGGGTGATCAGGTAAGGCCCCCAGGAGGAGGGGACATTCTAGCAGGGGCTCCATGTTGAGAAGAAGCAAAAGGTGAGTGATCGTGGGAGAAAGAGCACCCCAGGCAGGAGAAGCAGCCAGTGTGAGGCCTCTGGGTGAACTTCATGAGAAGAGGGCTTGGAAGTCAGTCAACCAACTGTTTAGAAATAGAAAGCCCAGGGTTGAAACAGATGGTACGTCCGGCATCCCAAGAAGTTTCTTGAAAATCCCCATGGACCTAAAAGGCTTAAATGTCCTCCAGGTCTGATCAGGTGCGGAGCATCCACCCATAGCTGTTGCTTTTCTGTCACAGCTGTGACTGTGACCTTGGAATGGGCCCCAGACTCAGGGGGCACAGACCTAGATTAAGATCTCAGCATCGTGGTCTTGGGTAGGTCTTGTGAACCTCTGGCCTTTAGGTGAAGGTCATCTGAAGTTGGGGACCATGCCACCACCTAGCCTACAGGGTGGGGTATGGATTAAATGAGTGACCGAGCACTTCATAAATTACACTGCACTGAGCAAGGACTGAGGATTGAGGGAGATTTTGAATCCAAAGTGCCAGGAGGTGTGGGTCTCAGAGAGGCTCTGTGCAGCTGAGGCTCTGAGTGCTGAGGGGCCATGGGGACCATCTAACACAGCTTGTTGCTGCACCTGGGGCTGGTTCACCCTTCTCCTAGCGCAGAGAGTCTTTCCTGTTTCTCTCTCCCACGTTCCGTCCTTCCTGGCGGCTTCACAGTTCAGGATGTTTCCAGCAGAGCCTTTCCCACACTCTGATCCACACCGCGCTCTCCCTCTTCTCATCGAGACCCACAGATTCACACCTAATCCCACATGCTTCTGAATATGTTCAGTTTCTTCTGCCTCCCTGGCTGGATCATAAGCTATTTGGGAGTAAGAACTGTTTTTAATATTCTTTCCACCCCTCCATAGTATTTATCACAATATAAATTACAAAGGTCAGTACATAATTAAGTGCATTTTAAACAATATGTTTTTGTTGATTTCAGGGAGAGGGGGAGAGAGAGAGAAACATCAAGGATGAGAGTCATTGATTGGCTGCCTCCTGCGTGCCCCTTGCTGGGGATCCAGCCCACAGCCCAGGCATGTGCCCTGACCTAGAATCAAACCATGACCTTCTGGTTCAGGCTGATGCTCAACCACTGAGCCATGCCAGCGGGGCAGTTAAGTGCATTTTGAATTAAAGTGCTCAAAAAATAAAAATAAAAAAAATGATCTGAATGACAGCTGGCTTACTTTCTCTGTTTAGTTAAGCTCCAGCTATAATTTTTACCTGCCTGAAAAGTCCTGTTCTCACTATTAAACATGACTTCTTGTTGGTCATTAACTAGACAGTGAAGGAATTATAAGAGTACCTTGTTCTCTAGCCCCCAGGTTTCCCTAGATGCCAGATCAACACTCCTTTTCCTTCCTGAAGATCACCTGCGGGAACCTTGGCGATGGCATCCCCGTCAGAGTCTGTCACGTTCAGGGAGTTCTGCCCTTTGTACTATCTCCTCAATGCCATTCCCACGAAGATCCAGAAGGGTTTCCGCTCCGTGGCGGTCTACCTGACGGCCCTGGACACCAGCGGGGACTACATCGCCGTGGGCAGCAGCACCGGCATGCTCTACCTGTACTGCCGCCACCTCAGCCGCATGAAGAAATACAACTTCGAGGTGAGTCCGCTGCCCTCTACACCTCGTCGTGCCTGAGCCCTGGCTGGTGTTGAATGTGCTCGTGAATTCCAGCGTGGGGCGGTTTACTCCTAGTTTACTAGAAAGTGGCCTTATGTTCTCACCCAGACAATACTTTAAAACCATCTTTTTTTTTTTTTAAATATATATATTGATTTCAGAGAGAGGAAAGGAGAGGGAGAGAGAGAGAGAGAGAGAGAGAGAAACATCAATGATGAGAGTCATTGATCGGCTGCCTCCTGCACGCCCCTGACTGGGGATCAAGCCCGCAACCCGGGTATGTGCCCTGACTGGGAATCGAACCCCGATCTCCTGGATCCTAGGTCGATGCTCAACCACTGAGCCATGCCCGGCTGGGCTAAAACCATCTTTAATTGAGGTGGAATGTAGCTAAAAACATTGGTGCTTTTAAGTTCTTTTTTCCTACCTCAGAGATCTAGCATCACTTTTTAAAGAGAACATTTTAGTGTTTAATACTTAGCAGAAAACTTTGAAAGTAGGTATTTTTTCTGTGTGTATTGTTTCTCAAAGAACCTTGACAGGCTTACTCAAATAATCTCTAATTATTTTGTTGACCTTATTATGAAAAGAGAAGAATTAGTGTCAACATAGGCTAGCTGCCAGAACATGTGCATCTTGAATAAGCTCACTGCCCTAGGGCACTGCTGTGGGGCCCTGACCAACCTTTGCCTTGCATGGGTTGACCTGGGCGTGTCTGTGTGTTGTAGATGTTCGGGGGCACCAGGTACCAGTGGACCGTCAATGAATACACCCATTTAGTTAGTACCTGTGGCTGTTTTCTTGAGAGAGACTTGAAGAAGGTGACTGAGTGTGGCTCCAATCTCGTAATCTTGTGAGACTCTATGCTGTCTGTGGTTAGCAGGCTTTTCGGACTAAGACAAGACATTTGTGTTTAAGAGAAATGTTTCCAAATATCTGTATTTTAATCAGTATTCAACTTATTAAAGTTTTAATTTTAAAAGTTAGTTTTAAGACTATATTCAATTTAAAATAACAGAAGTGGGTAGCATGCATGTAGCACTTACTATAGGCCAGGCATTATTTAACCTTTACATGTATGTATTAACTTACTTCATGCTCACAAAAACTCTATTAGGTGGGTGGTAGTGTTATCCCCATTTCACCAGGGAGACAACTGAGGCACAGAGTGGTTAAGGGACTTGTCCATGGTCAGGAGTTAGTGAATGGTGGTGACACTGTCTGACCTTGGGCAGATTGACTCTAGAGTTTATATTAAATTTGTTGTTGTTGTTAATCTTCACCTGGGGATATTTTTTCCATTGGTTTTTTAGAGAGAGTGGAAGGGAGGGGGAGAGACAGAGAAACAGTATGAGAGAGAGACTCATTGATCGGTTGCCTCCCACATGCACTCTGACTGGGAATTGAGCCTGCAACCGAAGCATGTGCCCTTGACCAGAATCGAACCTGCGACCCTTCAGTCCATGGGCTGACACTCTAACCACTGAGCCAAACCAGCCAGGGCTATATTAATATTTTTGTATAAAAATTAAAACGACTGCTATTAATTTTCTTTGATTAATAGCTTATGGATTTGACTGATCAAATTCCCCAAACATTTAAGACCATTACATAGTTAATCTTTACAACTGTAGTTATGAAATAATTTATCTTAAGTCTCTCAAATACTTAAAACAAGGAAGACTTATGAATCTGACAGCGAACGCCTGATAGGATAAACCAAAGAAATTTATGCCCAGACACATCATGATCAAACTACTAAAAAGTGAAGACAGAGGAAAATCTTAAAAGTAGGGAAAGTGGCTGGAATGAGTGCAGATTTCCCATCAGAAACCCTGGAGGCTGGAAGATAGTGGCACAGCATCCCAAAGTCCGAGAGAAAAGAACTGTCAATGAGGATTTCTTTGCTCAGTGAAAGTATCTGTCAGGAAAGAAGGTGAAATAAAAATATTCTCAGATGGAAGAAAACTAAGGGATCTGTTGCCAGCAGACTTGCTCTCAAATCATTGCTGCAGGAAGTGACTAGAAGGAACCTTGGAGCATCAGTAGTGAAGGAAGAATAGTAAATATCTGGATATACACAGGCGATTTCTCTCCTCTTGAGCTCTTTAAAATATATTTGACAGGTAGCAAAAATTAAAAACACATTGCCTGGTCAAGTTTTTAATATGTCTAGATGTTGTAACATGTAAGACAACTTTAGCAGAAGAGGGGAGGGAGAGTCAGGGACCTCTGTGGTGGTAAGGTTTCTATAGTTGACTCGAAAGGCAATGTTGTAATCCCTGGAGCAACCACTAAGAGCCTGTACATCATGGTACAGCAAAAATGACTGTAGACATAACACGTGGAACTTAAAAATGTACACACAACTCACAGGAACGCAAGAGAGGAGAAACAGAAGCAGGAAAAACGGAAAACAAATGCAGTGATGGACGTAAATCAGAATGTACCATTCATTATGTTAAATGGAAATGATCTCACATCTCAACTGAGAGACAGAAATTACTGGAATGGAGAAAAATCATGTTGTCTATAAGAAATTCAGTTTAAAATAAACGGTATAGGAAGATAAAAAGTAAAACAATTGGATAAGATATACCATGTAAGCATTAATCACAAGAAATTTGGAGTGGTTATATTACTAAATTAGAGTGGTCTAATCAAAGAAATAACCAGGGATAAAGAGAGTCGTTAGTAATGGTGAATGGGTGAGATAACCAAGAAGACGTAGCAGTCCCAAATGTGTATGCCCTTAACAACAGAGCTCCACAGCACACTAAGTAGAAACTGATAACTGAAAGAAGAAATAGAGAAATCCACAGTCATAGTTGGAGACTCTCAGGAACAGTAGTGGACAGAAAATCACCGAGAGCATAGACTGAGCAACACAGTCCATCAGCATGATCTGACTGACATTTTCAGAACACTCCGCCCGACACCAGCTGAGCACACATTCTTTACAAGTGGGCATGGGGCATTCGTTAAGACAGGACACACCTCACACAATTTAAATTACAGCAGGCTTTCCAGGTGCCTGTGTTTCACCTTGTTACATGCTTTCACTTTTTAGTTGGAATATGATTTACATAAAGTGCACTGATCTCAGGTGTACAACCTGATGAATTTATGTGTGTATACATGCGAGTCATCACCCAGATCAAGATACAGAGCATTTCCAGCAGCCTCCCTGGTGCCACCTCCCAATCTGTACTCCCCCCAAGGTTCCTGCTGTTCTGACTTCTAGTACAGTAGAGTTGTGCCGACTCCTTGGGTTTTAATTCACTACTGGGTGACCTTTGGCTGTAAGGGCTAGTGTCTTAGGGGTTTTTGGTGGTAGTGGTTCCGGGAAGTGTATTTAGAGGGGACTGGAATGCAGAGCAGGACGTGGAACAGTGTGGATAAGGCCAGAGAGTGGGCAGGGCCTCCCACATGAGGCTGAGGGCTGGAACTGGCCCCTGGGGGAGGCATTCAGGACCCTTCTGGGGTGATGTGGGGAAGGGACTGGGGGCCATGTGTGCACTAGTGGAAGTTACAACCCAGTTTTATGAAATGTGTCTTATTGATCAACATTTTATTGTCCTTTTTAAAATATAACTATATTTTAAAATATAACTATACTTTTTAAATTTAGCCATTAAACTAAAAAAACCTTAAGAACACCAGAGTTTAGTGCTCCCCAGAATGAAATTATACATTACAGCTGACTGCTGGCTTTGTAGTTTTACCGAGAATTATTTTTCTGTTTATCATGTGAGCCCTGAATGAATGTGATATGTTAGGACACCCTCTACAGGGACCACAGACTTTGGGGCAACCTAGTACAGATGACTGGACCCACGGCCCAGGGGGGCACTCCTGAAAAAAATCCCATGTATATGTTTTTAGCTGGGACCCAAATCCACGCTTGGCAGCCCTGAATATCAAAAGCATGTTTTTGAACACTCATTGAGTGTAGAATACAAACTTATAATTGTGGAAAATCACAAGGAAAGTAGGAAATAATAATTCTGTTTTGGAAAGAACATAGAATTTGGAATTAAAATGTTAGGTTTAAGAAAAAAAACTTCTTATTGATTTTTTTTAGAGAGAGAGAGAAAAAGAAGCATCAATTCATTGCTCCACCCATTTATGCATTCATCAGGTGACTCCCTGTGTGCCTCACCTGGGGATTGAACCTGCAACCTGATGCTCTAACCAACTGACCTACTCGCTCAGAGCTAGAATGTTAGGGTCTGAAAACAAAGCTAAATGTCTGTATGTAAAACACACAGGAAAAGATCTGGAGGAACACCCCCAAACTATTCTCATGGTTACCTAACGAGGTGGGGGTTGAGAATGGCGTGAGGTGGGGCAGGGGTATGAAGGGGAAGTATTGGGGTTTTTTTCACTTTAATACTGTGGAATTGTTAGAATTTTTTGGTAATAAGAACATTCATGTATTGTATGAAAACGGCTGAAAGACAACACTGTCAGTCATCACCCTAGGATCTCTAGGGTGATCCTAGAGATGAATTAAATGTTTGTGTTGTTATTACCAGTTTCATCTTCAGAGCCAGCTGGGTCTTAGAATCATTTGGTACCATCCCATTGTTTTCCAGGTAAACAGTAAGCCGCCTGCTCCAGGCCACATAGCTGGCTGCTTGACCATCGCGCTCACTTCCTGTGGGGGAGGGCAGGGCCTTCACAAAAGTCTGGATGTGGATGACAATAGAGACCATATTTGGGGTCTCTGGGATTTCCAAGGGAAAACTGAGAGACACGTTAGGTGGTGTAATTCAGGGAAAATCTAAGATTTTATGGGAAGGTAAATAAAAATAAAGGTTAGTTTACCCTCTGAGAAATCTGGGCACAGCTTTGAAAGAGCATGTTTTAAATGAAGTACGTTTCTGAAGAAGATGCAGAACTTTTATGTGATAAGTAGAGGCAGGCATGTGATTTCTAGAATAATGCTTTTGGAAACCTTTTCCTACAAAAGTCAGTAGGAGAGAGCAGATCGTGACACAAGAAATTCTTCCTAGTGAGTGCCAAAAGCATGGAGAAATGTTCTGAGGAGCTAATAATAAGTACACGATGTTATAAACTTGTTAAATACATGGGTATGACATACGTAAGAATAGATCAGGAAGATAATGACCTGAGTTTCTAACTTTCTGTTTTGAAATTAAATGTATGATCACTTATTAGCATACTGGTCCTCATTTCTGCCCCTTTGCCACACTTGCTGTCCCACTGTGTGCATCCTGTAAGCATGTGTCCAGTGCTCACTGTGTGTCAAGCCCATCGGAGGTGTTGAAGATGTAGTAGAGCGGCACTGGCCCAAGTCCCTGCTGCATGGAGCTGAGAGTCCGACAGGGAGAGCCAGACCCTCACAGACAGGTGGGGAGCCATGGCAAGGGGAGGGTGAACCTGAGACGGTGAGGGCCAGCAGGGGCCGTCCACTTTCAAACAGCAACTGCAGGGAAGGGCTGATGAGAAGTGACGGCTGAACAAAGACCCGAAGAGGGTGGTCAGCACCCACGCTGACGTTCCTGCTGGAAAGCTCAGGCTTGAGAATGTTGCACGTGTTTACCTGACTTACTCCCAGTGTGTTTTCTTAAAAGTGATGCAGAAGTGGGAGTTTTTGTCTCACCACATTTCCTAATGCCTCCCTTACCTTTCCCTGTGGAAGGGCCCCTGAGGTCAGTCAATTAGCATCCTGAGATTTGAATTCCAGTGTGTCTGTGGCAGATCTGAATTACAGCACAGGGCTTCTCTGGTGCCCTCTCAGCGTGGATCGTGGATTGTGGATTGTGGATCGCTTTTGTGGATCGCTTCAGTGTATGCGTTGCTGGGAGGTTAGCTTTCAAATGTGTTTACAGTGACCCACAGTAAAAATTATACTTTGTGAGATGTCCATTTTCCCTAAATTTACCTAAGTTCCATATAATTCCAACAAGTTGTTCTTAAAATGTTAATTGACAGGGTGATTTCATGTGTATGAAATTGTAATGAGTCAAAGAGTGAAGACACTAGTGGAAAAGAACAGTATGGGAGAGGTTGCTCTCCTGGGTCATGGGACCTGTCAGGCTTCAGTGATTAAGGCCGAGTGGTATTAGCACAGGTGGATAAACAGGTCCTGGGCCAGAACAGGGAGGCCGAAGATCCACAGAGGTGTGAACACGGGAGGACTGCAGAGGCGTCTGTCCCCAAGTGATGTGGGACAGTGGACATGAATATGGGGAGAAATGAAACTGGGTCCCTTCTTCACTTCATAGTTATTGTGTCCCTTGACTGCTGAGACTTCTGGAGGCCGTCTGGCTGTTTGCCTTCTACCTCGGTCACTGGTGATAGAGTCCCCAGCCCCCGGGACTTCCTTCAGGCCCACTGGACAGTCCATTCCAGTGCGCGCTGTGACATTAAGGACATTAGACCAGAAAAGCAGAGGTCTTTGTGTAACTTTCAATCATTAAAAGTTGTATAAATATTCAAACTTTAAACTGTAGTTTTTTATTAGTAAAAGAAGGAAAATAGTGAAACAATTCTTATAAGTTTGATGACTTCATATCTTACTTCAGTCTCCTTAAATATTTCACAATATGCAAGTCTGTTGGTTATTTGACGTGTCAGCAGTTTCTACTGAGGGCTGACCTTGCGCATCAGGAGGCTCCTAAAGAAGCTTGTCAGCCTCCCAGGTCCACGTCCTGTGCAGGGAACGCTCCCCCCTTGCGCTCTGTCCCCCGCTGTACTTTTGTCCCCAGCACGCTTTTGTCTTGTGCAAAGAGGGAAGGCTGCCTGCCCGGAGCCTAAAAAGGTGGGCTGCACGCTGTCCTAATGGTGACATGTTTGTCCCGGAAACCATTCCCGGCTCCTTTCAAATTACTGTTTCTCTTAAAGTTTTTTCATTATTGAATTTCTGTTTGAGGAAGTTAAGTTGCACAATGAGGCAACAAGGAGTGCCCCTGAGGAAGTCAGAAATGAGGGAAACAGAAGAGCTGAACGCACAGTAAATGAGGTCTGAGATGGACAGTCTCCCGACAGACAGAAGAGCGGCTCCCAGGCCAGAATAAGACTGAACTGTCCCCTTATCGAAAGCAAAGGGATGTGACAGGAAGTGGGGGGGTCTGCTGCGGAACAGGGCAGATCCCCTGTGCAGCTCGCTGGGTGAGGGGCCTGCTGGCGAGCTGGCTCTCAGCGCCAGGGGTCTCATCAGGAGGGGCCCTGGGCTTGTCAGGCAGCATGTGGACTAAACCTGCTGTCTGAGCTCATCGCCCTGGAGGAGGGTGCATGGTTCCCACCTACCTGGGCCTTCTGTCCGGATATTCCTTGGTCTACTGGGCTGCACTGTTGCTGTTGAGAAGTGTGTTTTAATAATTATTCATATTTGCTTATTTACCTTTTTCTTACATGTTCCTATCTTCTCCTTGTCTTTGAGGTTTTCCTGTCTCACTACAAGCTTTCTATGTGTGAGTTATTTTTATGAATCCTTCAGGCTTGTGCTCCTGAGGATTCAGGTCTTTCTCTATCAGACTAGGGTCATTTTTAGCCCCTCTCTCTGGAGATGCTGCTTTCTCTTTTCCTCGCTCCTCTTGCCTCTGGCATCCTGATTAGATACAGGTTGAACCTTCATGCTCTATCCTCTGTGACCCTTACCGTCCCTTTCATATTTTATCTTTTCATTGTACAGATCTGTCATCTGGCTCAGTGTTCCCTTTCAGCTGTGACTGACCTGCGATTTAATCTGCCCACCAAGGTTTTAATTTTTTTATTTTTTGTTTCTCTCTCCTCCTGGTAGTAGTTGGCTCTTACATTTTAGTTTTCTTTTATATTTCTTTAAACATTTTAAGCATAGTTCTTTTATGTTCAGGACCGCTCCATTCTCAGTGGGATACTCGGGTGAGGGTGAGGGGGTGTCCAGGTCTCACTGCTTTTTCCAGCTGATTCTTCTTCGTGGGGCCTGTTTCCCTGTGTCGTTTCCCATCATGAGCCGTGTGGCTGATCCTAGCATGTGCGGTGCGAGGGGCCTGGGTCAGACACAGGTGGGGTTTGTGTTCACTCTGCCAGGCGCCATGGTGTGCTATTCACATGGATGCACTGTGATTAAACTGCCTGGCACGGAGCTGCTTTTGACTGGAAAGGAAGAAAGTGCAGACTCCGGTGCTGAGAAGGGCTCGCTCGTGACTGCGGCCCCTCAGGGAAGATTGTGTATTCCCTCCCATCAGTGCCTGAGGTGAGAGGGCTCCTTGTCAGCTCCCTTTGCCAGCCCTTCCTCCGAGGGCTAGGTTCTCAGGGGCTCTGGCATTTGCANTCCCTTTGCCAGCCCTTCCTCCGAGGGCTGGGTTCTCAGGGGCTCTGGCACTTGCGAGGGTATCAGTTCCATCTCTCCACCTCACCTGGCCTGAAGCCTTGTCCTTGTTACCTGCTTGGCTTGGAACAGTGAGACCCCCGGAGCTGGCCAGGTGGTCCCAGGGAAGCCTGCAGTTTCAGGGCTGGTTTCTGGTCTGGTTCTGCAATATTCTCTTTGTTTTGGCTCCACTAGACATTTTTTATTTTTTAGATTAGCTGTGCATTTAGAAGCTGTGCAGTTCTCACTGCTGCTGTCCCCACTCTAACCTGGTCTTAAGGGGGCCTCCTAGCTTCACCAGGTTACTGCCTTCGCTCACTCAGTTCGCCGCTTCTCGGGTGGGCACATACTGCCTCGAGCCAGAGGATCGCAAAGGCTCCCCGCTGGCCTCCTGCCCGGCCCTCTCCCCCTCTGCATCCTGCTCTGAATTACCTCTGACTGCGCACTGGCAAAATTGGGACTCTTTGAAGGCTCCTCCTTTCCTTGCTACAGTTTCAGATCCCAGTCTCTTGCCCTGTGTCATGACCTGGCACCAGAGTCATTCATAGCCCCTGAGGCTCCCCTGAAGGTGCTGAAGTGTCAGAGGAAAGCGAGCTTAGTCATCAGCATCCCCACGGCTGTGGGCGGCTTCGCTTGTTGTCACGGCTGGGCTTCAAGGGGTGACCACGACCTATTTGTTTGTTACCATGCAGCTGACTCAGTACCCGAGCACACGGTCTGCTTGCCTGTTGGACAGGTTGATTAGCACCTAAATGACCACAGCAGGGATCACAGTGGCTTATTGGGGTCTTGCTCTACGTCAGCAAGGTCAAAACGGTTGTGTCACTTTTCTAAATGAGTGGTTTGAAAATAAAAAAATGATCACTTAGGTTGCTGGAAGCCTGCATAGGCACAGAGCTTGTACACATGCTCTTCAGGGAACCCATCTGTGAGGCTCAAGTTAATGTTACTTACTGATTATTTCTCTAAGAACCAGAACGCACCAGGAGTCATTGTAAAGCACTTGCCGCTGTGCTGTCTCGCTGACCCTGCGGCCAGCCTGTGTCAGGGCCGTGGACCCACCGCAGTGACCTAGAGACTGGTCCACGCTGAGGAGAGAGCAGCTGGGTCTGGGCGGCTCCTCTCCTCCTGACTCCTGTCTGCTTCCTGGGCGAAGACCTCTTGTCCAGCATTGATCGGCATTTCTTTCATCAGAAATACAGTTTTTAACGCCATTTCAAAGATTAAAAGCATAAAAAGAGAAAGGAGGGTTTAACAGGGTCCGCTATCTTGCTGAATTGTGTGTACTTTCTCCCAGGAATGTGAACAGGCTGCAGCCGGTGGTGTCTCCTCTCCACGGGAATGTCCTCCCTCTGAAAGCCGCCTGCTCACAGGTTTTGTTTTTGGATGTTTCTTTAGGGAAAAACAGAACCGATCACAGTGGTGAAGTTGCTGAGCTGCTTCGATGACCTGGTGGCTGCAGGCACCGCCTCTGGGAGGGTCGCAGTTTTCCAACTGGTGTCTTCATTGCCTGGGAGAAATAAACAGGTCAGCACTAACCGTTTAGCATTTCTGGACTTCTTGGCAAATTCCTCGGGTTTTTTTGTTGTTTCTTTTTTAATATATTTCTGTTGATTTCAGAGAGAGGAAGGGAGAGAAATAGAAACATCAATGATGAGAGAGTCGTCATTGATCAGCTGCCTCCAGTGCACCCCTAGCTGGGGATTGGGCCTGCCTCCCAGGCATGTGCCCTGACCCAGAATCGAGCCTTGATCTCCTGGATCCTAGGTCGATGCTCAACCTCTGAGCCACACCCAGCTGGGCCCTCATCGGTTTTAAAATGAGAAATCCTCATCTGCCTAGAAAATGTGTGCTCAGAAAAGCTTAGCACTGTGTTTTTTATAATCAGGCAGCATTTTTTACCTGGGAGGACACTTGACAAAAAGCCCATGTGAGTAATTTATTTATTTATTTATTTATTTAAATATATCTTTATTGACTTCAGAGAGAGGAAAGGAGAGGGAGAGAGAGAGAAACATCAATGATGAGTCATTGATCGAGCCCGAAACCCAGGCATGTGCCCTGACCGGGAATCGAACCCAATCGCCTGGAGCCTAGGTCGATGCTCAACCTCTGAGCCACGGCCGGCTGGGCACGTGTGGGTGATTTAAATTCACTCAGTAATCTCCAGCTGCTCTCTGGGTTTTGAAGGTAAATAGGCAGGTGGAGCCCAGCTCCTCGGTAAACAGGAGGGTCCAGCCCACCCCGAACCCAGAGCTCCCCCTTGCTGTGCTTACTCTCTTCCTCTCCTATTCACTGTTCCCATTTATCCACAGCTGCGGAGATTTGACGTCACTGGTGTTCACAAGAACAGCATCACCGCTCTGGCTTGGAGCCCCAACGGCATGAAACTATTCTCTGGAGACGACAAGGGGAAGATTGTCTATTCGTCTCTGGATCTGGACCAGGTGAAACTCTTTTCGGAGATACTCGTGGCCTTAACGCTTGGAGAAGTGACTGATGTTGGTGGTTGTGTCTTGTTGGTCGGCTCGTGCTCTCCATCGTTCTCGTGCTGTAGCCTGTTGTGATTTGTGACGTCTTTCAAGGATTTTTCTAATGTTTCATAAGCTCCTACTTCTGTGATCAGAGTGTCAGCCGTTTTGCTGGAGCGGTCACTCCTTTCATTCTCTTGTCTCTTCTGCTTAGAAAATGAGCCACTGTCATTCTAATTCCCTGAAGGATTTGTGGGAGTGAGGTGACACTCTTCCTAATCATAACTGTGGGCGTGTCACTGCTCTTAGTGGTGGGCACTTGCCCCTTGCCCAGCCCTGCTGCTGGGAGATGGCCTCGCGTGGGAGAGGGTGCCGGCGGGGAGATTTGGTGGCAGCACCGGTCCAGCCTCACCTTCATGTTTATTATTTAATTTAATCCCGGAGTGCCCTGAGCTGCATTCTCACCCCAGGAAATGGAGGAAACCGCTCCAAGAGACGCAGTCCCAGTCCAGGGTCACAGGCTAATACCAGGTGGGGCTCCACTGCACAGCCTGCCTTCCCCCTGCACACTGGCCTCGTGCCTGCCTGCGCCCAGCTAGACTGTATTCCTCGGTGGCCCAGCCCTGCTGTTTCGTTATTTGTGGCCTTCATTCTTAGTGCATGGCAGGAATTCAGCAGCTGCTGGCTGAGTAGCTCTTGGCCCTTGGACCCAGGACTGACTTGTTGTCGATGCTCTTCAGCAGTAGCTCAGACTGTCTGGTCTCAGGACCCCTTCTCCTAAAAAGAGGACCCTGACGTGCTGTTTTCTGTATGAGTTCTATCCACTGAGTGCACTGCGTTAGAAGTCAAAGCTGAGAAAGTAAAAAGTACTTATTAAATATATTTTGAAATAATAATAAACCTATTATATGTTAACAAATAACATTTTTGCGAAAATAACTATTTTCAAAACAGATGGAAAGAGTGGCATTGCTTTACATTTTTGCAAATCTCTTTCATGTCTGGCTTAGTGGAAGACAGCTGGATTCTGCATTCAGTCTGTCCCAGATACATTGTTTCTGTTGGAGGATACAAAGAAACTCTGGCCTGGCACAGACGTGTACATGGTCACTTAGAACATATTGAGCCTCTGAGTAAGGCAGAGCTTCTAAATGTTGACCGCTTAATTATATAATACTGAAGAGAGCAGCTTTGTTAGTGTCGCCATCATTCTGATCAGAAACGTCTTTAGCTGTTGGGAAGCCCTCAGGTTCACAAAGTGGATACATGGTTTCAAATTCTAATCTTTATTTGAAAACTTGAATTTTATCAGCCACAAATACTGTCACTTATCTTTGAAGAACAGGCTCACTTTGTTCTTTCTTGCCTGTCAAATACCCCAGTTGGGATGATTACAGCATTCCAGGTAGACAAGGTGTGTGTGAAACGCAGCTGCTCCAGCTGACAGCGCTAACCATCGCACCCATGCCTGTCACCTTGAGAGGACAGGGTACTCCAGGCCATAGCGGACAGAACGCAGGGAGACGTGAGCCCAAGGGCCAAGATTGAATGAAGCTGTCATTTTTCTGCATCAAAAACATTCTTAAGTGATGAAACACTCATTTTTACTGCAAGTGTGTTGTGGTGAGGGCCCAGTGACAACAAGTGGAGTTGAGTCCCCTGCTCAGTTTGGCCTCCTCGGGCCTCCTGTGGCTCCACCCAACATGGTTTTTATACCATCAGTACAGTGTCCATTCTGAACAGGGCTGATAAACCTAGTACATATGAGAATGATTTTTACCTCGCAGACCCCTTGAAAAGGGTCCTGGGGACCCTCAGGGACTGCAGGCTACACTTGGAGAACCGCCACTCTGCAGGAAGATGTGTGACGGTGCTAAGGGTCCCCTGTGTCCTTTCCTGCTGCCACTCCCCAGCCCGGCCTGCGGGGGCAAGGTACAGAACACGACTCATGCAGAAATCAGTGTCCTTCGCAGCCTGACCATTTCTTTCCCAGCTTTATTGAGGTTCTCATCATTTCTTTAAAAGACACAGGTACTCTTTGTGAGATTTGCAAAAAAAAAAAAAAGAGAGAGACAAACATGGAAGGATGCATGTTTGTGCAAAATTCAATACAGTAAATTTCATTGCATTGTAAGGTAAGTCAGAAACTCAAAAGCTGCTGTTTGCATAACTGCAGATGTCTGCAGGAAACCTGCTTAACATTCTTGGTGTTTGAGGGGTAAGGGTTTCTGTGTCTTCTGCGTGGTGGCAGTTACATGGCTGCGTGTACTGTGTCTCTAAAAGGGTGTCCTGTACTCTGTGTAAACTTCACCAGTAAGTCTGCCGGCTGCTCCCTCTTCCTGCAGACAGGCCTGTGGTAGCACATCTGTATTTCTGCCCTGGAGAAACTGGTCAGGAGAGGAGTGACCGATGCACGCAGATCTCTGACATCAAGGAGTAGAGTCTGTATCAGCAGCGAAGTGCCTTCTAGGATTTACTTTTTGGTCCTTAATATACTTAATACCATCTTTAAAAAAAATTTCTAACCTCCTTTTTTTCTGACTCAGTTGGCAAAGATAAAATGTCCCCAAAATGGCTTTGAACTCTTTGTGGGGAGGGATAGGATATGAACTCACCTGGTCAATGTCACAATAATTTTATAGAGTCCCATGTGCTCCATTATAATAGAGTAAATGACACACCTGGTGTGGCACTGTCTGCTTAGATCTTGACGAATTCTTCTTTGAATGATCTATTGAGACATCTTAAAAGAAATTATACAGAATTTTTAATGTTTCTTGTCAAGTATGAGGTAGCCTGAGGTAGATGTTAATGTTGACTATTTCCTCTTCGGTCAGGACTTTTTCAAATTCACTGCAGTGTGTTGACACCGAATCTTGAGTTAAAGCATGAATTTTAAGGTGAACTTGACCTAAATAAAAGTCACAGGGTGCTTCCTAGCTACAGAGGAGGCCGGGTAGCTAGCCCCACCGTGCATTGGCCGTGACTGGACTGCCTCCCACAGGGCGTCTGCAGCTCCCAGCTGGTGTTGGAGGAGCCGTCCTCCATCGTGCAGCTGGACTACAGCCAGAAGGTGCTGCTCGTGTCGACTCTGCAGAGAAGCCTGCTCTTCCACACCGAGGAGCAGTCCGTCAGGCAGGTCGGAGCACAGCCGAGGAAGAGGTAAGTTCCAGGTCCCAGCCTGGCGGTTACAGGGGGGCTTGAAAATTTCCTAGGTTCCCAGTTACCAGGAGTGAGCCCACAGTGGCTAAGCCTAGGGTCCTGGTGGGTCCCCAGCCTGCCCAGGACGCCTCGTCCCTGTGCGGTGCAGCCACTTTGGGGTCTGGAGGACGGGGAGGTCAGTTCTAGGCTGAGAGACTGTCCCTCCTTTGACCTGATGCCTGAAAGAAAAACAGTGACAAGAAGGGTCAGGCCACATCCACCTGCCTGCCGGCCATGCAGGAAAAGGCGGCAGCAGCACGCGGGAGACCAGGGCCCTTGGTAGGACTGTGCAGCATGCATGCGGGGCAGGGAAGTGAGGGGTGGACGGGCAGTGACGGGGGGCAGAGCTGGAGGAGTGCCCAGGAAAGGAGCTCTGGCCAGCCGGGCTGGAGGAAGGAGAGGGTCAGGAGCATGGAGAGCGGACAGCAGGCTGGGTTGGAAACTCGGAGGCTGGCGGTGCTGTCAGGAGAAGGGCAGCTGAGGTCAGTTGAGTGGTGCCAGCATTATTCTGTGTGCTGTCCCTCCCAGCCAAACAGTAGACGTTTATTCTCTGTTCTGTGGGGCAGTCCCGAGCTGTGAAAAGACCCAACTGTGCTCCCCTCGGCTTCTCTCTTCCCTGCTGAACGGTCCTCCGTTCCATCGACAGTTCAGCCTGTTGACAGCAGAACCTCCTGTCACCCCAGGAAAGGCAGTGGGATTTGCGGCTTGGGCTTAGTGTCCTGAGTTCCCTGGGCCAGTGTCCCGCCTCTGCCTGGCGTTCTGGCCGGCTTGCAGGCCCACCGCTCACTGCGCTGTGTCTCAGGAGGAAGGTGGCCTGTAGAGATTGACAGACCAGTTCCCTTTCACCATGCCGCACGCCTGGGGCCTTTCTCTGTTCACTTGCCCCCCTCAGACTTTGATCCTCTGGGTTCGGGCTCTGTCCACGCTCAACACCTCAGGTCTACGGCACTGTAAATTATTATGTAAAATTAGAAAACACTATTTTATGGGTAGAACCTGTTCGCCAAAAAGTACTCAAATGTGGCTCATAAAGGGAATCAAAGCGTTTTTAACTCGTCATCAGTGATTTTTCTAGAAATCATCTCCACCAAAATGAAGACACTGGGTTAATTTACTTAGGATTTCAGAATCCTGCAGTGCCCAGACATTAACACTAGTGTTCTTGTGTCTGGTTCCAAGTGACCCCAGCAGGCGCTGCAGTCACAGCAGGCGGATGGAGGTAGCCGAGTTGGGCTTCAGGACCGTTTGCACCTGGCTCTGGTCACCCCAACTTCTCCACCTCCTCCCGACCAGCCACCCACCCGCATCCTGCTCAACGTGTCCCTTCCCCTAGAATGCCACTCCCCTCTTCTCCACCTTGGAACTGTCCACTTGGTGTCCAGGTCCAGACTTCCTATGCCTTGGCCGTGTGTCCCCTTTGCTGCACTCCTGTGAGCAGCTCTCTGAGCTCGGGTGTGGCCCCTGCTGGATGCTGTCGGAGTTGTGCATGGGCACGGCTGCCACTGTGCGTTGTGAGACAGCCAGGATCTCAGCTTACTGATTTCATATGCTGCCCACAGCACCGAATGGTGTCTTACATAATGCAGGAACTCACGGCATGTTTGTTAAGGCGGATGCTTTAGTTACCTGAGGCCAACAAGTGAAAAGAAAGTGACAGGAGATCTGTAAGGGGACCTATAAATAGAAGGAAGCAGATCAGCACACTGGTCACCATAGAAGTGGGTTTGACAGGAAAGGCCGGAGGGAGGGGTCTCCGCTGTCCTGCTGGAGTTCCTTTGGGTCCCTCTATCAGCGAACCTCCCCAGAACAATCCACCAAAGGCAGCGATGAAACGCGATGCCAATTACAGCGTTATCTGTGGATGTTCTGTCAACCTGACAATCTTCAGCTCAGAGTGAACTTGATACCCGATGTCCTTCTTGGACCCTGTCCAGAGGGATGTAGTTGCCCAGGTGCCGTGGGGACCTGGTGAGGCACTGGGTACAGAGAAACGCCCACATACCTTTATCTGCCGGGCTGTGTGGGTGGTTCCTGGGGGCTGCCGTGTGCAGTGGCCGTGGAGGGAGACACAGGATGAACACTCGGGGACGTGGGCGGGGTTAGAGGCAGCTCCAGCTGTGAGCACCGCAGCCTCGTGCACAGCATTCGAGCCGTGTGGGGACTTGAAGCCCACTTCAGCCTTGGAGATGGGGGTGGTTATCCCTGGTTTACAGGTCGGAAAACTGAGGTCTAAGGGTTACACACCACCTAGCTATCAGATGTCCATGGAAAGCCGGTACACTTTCTGCTGTTCAAAATCGGAGAGAGATTTTGGAGAGAGAATCAGCAGGACTTAGGGTTGAGCTGAACCTCTTAACACATGAGCTTGGCAGACGTCTTAGGTTTGCAAAGATGTGGCACAGTGGGAACGCAGAGACTGTGGTGGGAGTGTCCTGGGGGATTGTCACGTTGGGAAGAGTTTGAAGGAATCTCCAAACGTGACTGCTCTCACTGAGCAACCCAGCAGTTCCACTTCTACAGCCTCGACAGACTGGCACCTGTGTACTGGGAAGTTAGGTGCAAAAGTGCGCATAGCACTGCTGTTCAGAATGGAAAAGTAGAAATAATTCAGTTCCCATCCACAGGAGAGCGAGTAGTTGTGGGCTACTGTGTAGCAACAAAAATGAATGTGGCACCACTTTCTTATCAACAAGGAGACACTTTAGAAACATTCCTGTATAATGTTACATTCAAAGCAGATTTCAAAAGTACACAAAGAGCGTCACATGGTTTTTTATACAAATGAAAACATACAGCCCTGAGTTAGGAATACATGGGTTTGTGGCTAGACTATCAGTGAAGGCAAGGGAGCGATAAACACTAAATTCAGTCTAGCAGTCACACCGGGAAAGGGGCAGGCGGGAACCTTAGGGGCACAAGAGCATCGGTGATGTCGCAGACGGTGTATTTCCACAGTGGAGGGATGGGAGCCCAGCTATACGTTCCATCACCAGGCTTCATAATTTATAGATATAGATTGCATATATTCTTTTGTTTGTGTTAGATATTTCATAATTTCAGAAGGGAAATCTGGTCCCTCTTGACAGTTTAGAGAAATTCTGACAGGACTGCCTGGATCCCAGACATCAAGCTCATTCATGGGAAATTGGAGTGAGCACAGTAGTCAGAAGGAGCAGAATTTCAGAGGGGGGGAGGCAGGCAGACCGGGATGTGTCAGCCTCAGCTTTCTCTTCTCTAGGATGGAGTCGTAATATTTGCCTCACAAGGTCGTGAGGATTAAACACGAGTGCAGATAAAGCAGCCGCAGTGATTGCGCAGGAAGTGGTGGCCTGGAAACCAGGATGTGTGCTCAGAGTGCACCCTCTTGGGTGTTGTGAGCAGTGAAACAGAGACCTTGTCCCCTGGGCACAGAGATGACTGTGGTTCAGGTAATGAGAAACATGGAAAGGGTTCTCAAAAATCAGTCTTGTTTAGGCTTAGCCAGAAATTCCTGTTATAGTTAATAACAGTCATCATTTAAATCAACCCATGTCTGTTTTTTCTTTCTTTCTTTTAATTCCAGCACTGGGAAATTTGGTGCTTGTTTTATACCGGGACTTTGTAAGCAAAGCGATCTAACCCTGTATGCGTCGCGGCCAGGGCTCCGGCTGTGGAAGGCTGACGTCCACGGGACTGTTCAAGCAACGTTCATCTTAAAAGATGTCTTTGCTGGAGGAGTCAAGCCTTTTGAACTGTACCCGCGTCTGGAATCCTCGGACAGGGGAAGTGGCAGCTTACCTGAGAAGCACCTGGGACTTGTTTCCTGTTTCTTCCAGGAGGGCTGGGTGTTGAGTTGGAATGAATATAGTGTTTACCTTCTAGACACCATCAACCAGGTAAGTGGAGTGATTGCACCCATCTAGTAACTAGAGGCTTATCTAGGGCTGCCTTCAGGGTGATGGAGGGAACAGCATAGGTCTTGATGCCTTACCAGTCAAGGAAGGTTTGGTTATTTTTATAGATTTGAAAAAATATTTGGTTTGCTAATCAAAGTCCTTCCCCTGCAAGAAAGTGGGGGGTTGCATTTAAGCACAAATTTAAGATTGTTCTTTGTCATCCCCTGGGTCATGTTTCTTCTGACTGCAACATGCCTGTGAGTGTGTAAACATGTGAGCTTGACAGAAACAGTACAGAGTTAACTTCCGAGGCCCCCCCAGGGCGACGCAGAGCAGGACAGGGGCCTCCAGCTTCCTTCCCACCCTGTTCTCTTACCCTTGTTCCCTTGCCCAAATGAGGAGATGTTATTTTGACATTTCTGTTTAAATCAGGGTGATGATAGATTATTACTATTAGAGTCAGATGTAGGAACTTAAACACTTTCATTTTAGTTTCTCCTGTCTTAAGAGCAGAGCTGGGTGAGGCTGACAGGCAGGTCTTGCCAGGGCAGAGGAGCTCCGTGACATAGGGAGTGGGGAGCAGGTGAGGACATGGTCCTGACAGTGGCAGAGGTGGGGAGATTGTTCCCCAGTCACGTGATTACTGGTGAGGAGCACGACTCCAGGTCACATCTTTGTCAGGTATTACCTGACTGTGGATTGTACCCTAAGAACATCCATGCAGTTCTCATAACAGTGCGGTTACTGTCTGACTTATTTGGGTTCCTACACATGCTGTGTGCCCGGATCTACAATTATTGGTTTTGTGATTTTGTCTTTTGTTTGAATAGGCCACCATTGCTGGTTTGGAAGGATCGGGAGATATCGTGTCTGTTTCCTGCACAGAAAATGAAATATTTCTCTTAAAGGGAGATAGGAACATTATAAGAATTTCGAGCAGGCCAGAGGGACCAGCATCCATAGGTTTGTATTTGTAGTACAGGTACTGTGTGTGCAGGTGCAGTTTTCATTTTTTGACACTGATTACTTGGCTAGTTAAGTGATTGCAGCTTTATCTAAACAAGAAAGGCAGCTGGAGGGTTTCTTACGAGTCTTAAAATACTTTTCCTGCAATACTTTTCTTGAAGGTTACCTACTTTTCAGCCTACATCAGACAGGGTCTCCCCTTAGTAGAACTGCTCCCATGGGTCTGAAAGGTGGGAGGTCGGATGAGGGGGAGCGATGACTCAGTGCCCACTTCACTGACTTCTGATATTCTGGATGGTGTGTGGGATTAACGCTCCGAAAGACCTAGATTTGCATAAGGTTTTACAGAATTGAAACCTGTCATCTAGGACATATCTTTTACCTTTTTTGGAAAAAATATGTTTTTATTGATTTTAGAGAGGCAGGGAGAGGGAGAGAAATCTAGATACATCGATGAGAGACATCGATCGGCAGCCTCCTGCACTCCCGCTACTGGGGATCGAGCCCACAACCCAGGGCATGTGCCCTGACCAGGAATCGAACCATGATCTCCTGGTTCGTAGGTCAATGCTCAACCAGTGAGCCACACCGGCCAGACCATATCATTTATCTTAACACAGTTCTTCTTTATAGAATTGGTTGTTATTGTAATTCATGTAAGCCCGAATTCTCATGAGCGTAGAATCTTACTATGGATTCTCATGCATCCGTCCACGGTACTTAATGTTTGGGGATGCCCATTGAACTTGTTCCTGGCCGAACCAGAGCAGCTGTGCGGGCCCCCCACTCTCCACCCCGCCTCTCTCTCACTAGTGCTCACCATGTTCAGACACTGTGCTAAGGCCTTAACATTCCTGGTGTTATAAAACCCTCAGAACAACCCTCATGGAAGGTCCTCAGTCTCTAGCTGAGGAAGCTGAGGCTCAGCAAGGTGCGGTGAGGGTCCCAAAGACACCACCTACAATGCGCAAGTGGCACCCCCAGGGGCATCTGGCTCAGAGCCCCCGAATTGGAGGGGCCTCTGAGGTCACAGAGCAGGTTCACAGGTGTTCTGTTTGACTCATAGAGCAGACCTGTGGGAAGTGTGAGACCCATCTCTCTGCCGACACCGCCTTCCTCACCCATCCTCCCTGGGTTTGGAGTAGCCTTGTCCCTTCCTTGCTCTGTATCTCACTGTCTGCTAGGTGGCCACTGTCCACACGCGGCTGCTTAGTACTTGAAATGTGGCGAGTGCACTGAGGAGCTGAATTCTAAATTTTGTTTTATTTTAATCTGAATTTAAACAACTACGGGTCTAATGGCTTCTACACTGGACAGCGCAGCTCTAGACTGAAATCTGCCATTAGCTCATGCAATTTTGCACCGGCCACTTCCCTACCCTGGCCTCACTCAGCAGAGTCTGCCCTTCAGCCCTCAGTGTGTGCCCCGGAGCCACAGTCTGATCCTGACGACCTGGGAGAGCAGAAATTCCGTCCACCCGGTGGATGGCTGTGTCTCGGTTCCTAAAATGTGGAGAGTGCACTGAGTCTGGTGCTCAGTAGATGAAAGTGGCCCACAGTCCTGTGTTGAGGGGACTGTGGCTGCAGCCATTCTGGCCCTGGTGACCTTCTGGGGTCCTGTTGAGGGAAGGCCGAGTCCTTGAGGTAGGAAACTTGCTGGCCCTTAGTCACGGGACAGAGCTTGCGATGGCACGTTCCATGCCCTCTTCTCTCTGCCTTCTGCTGGGATCGGGCGCTGTTTTAATGAACATCTGTCTTGAATTCATTCTAATGGAATTACCTTTCCTCCGTGAATTTTGAGAAATTTAATTACAGTCCTGCATCTATTTTTCACAGCCCTCTGTGTAATATTAAAGTATATTCAGGGCACAGGATGAGCGTGGGATAGCACGAGGCCCTTTTTCAGACCAGCCTGTCTTTATAAATTATTTGTGAACCAGAGTGAGAGGCTCTGTACTTAGTGGTGTTCCCTTCCTGTAGAGTTATTTACAAGCTGTGGAGACTTAGTTTAGTGGCTTTGATATGTGAGCTTCCCGGAGAACAGAAACGGTTGATTGCTAGTTTCTCTGCGTTCAGCAGGCCGGTGTGCAGGACAGGTTAACATCCTGTAAAAGCACTTCAGCTTCCTCAGATAAACAGGAGAAAAATGGAACTTTTCTTTCTCAGTGCGAGACGGTCTGGAGACACTGGGATGCACAGAGCACGTCCACCTGCCGCCTGCAGAGAGGCCGTCGGGGGCCATGGTCCCAGAGGCGAGGCTCAGAGGCGCGTCGGTCGCCAGCGAGCCGAGGAGCAGGAGCAGCTCACTCAACTCCACCGACAGCGGCTCCGGGCCCCAGGGAGCCCTGGAGCTGGGCAAGGGCGTCCAGCCCGCCTCTCAGAGGTTCAGTGTCATCAGCTCGGAAGACTTCGACCAGGAGCTCATTGTGAAGCCCCTGAAAGTAAGGAAGAAGAGGCGGAAGAGGGCAGGTACGTCTGCAGACGGGCGCACGCCGGCGCCTCCACCCCGGCCTGAGGCTCTGCTCACTGACCGGCGCCGGCCCCTCGGGCAACAGCACAGGGTCTTCCAAAAATACTGCGTTTCTTCTGAAAGGAGTCTTATGGTGAAATACTCTAAACATTACACACATGTGCAAGCATCTCCTCGAGGTTTAAATGGCGTACACCTGTGTGCTAAGCACTCTGCCTTTTACATGCTCGGTGGTTAAGCACAGTTTTGGTTCATTCACATCCATTTACTAGATGGAGGTTAGGAACCTACGGAAGGTCCTAAACAAAGCCTCCGGTGTCTAGATGGGTCATTCATGTGACTGTGGGTATGTTTGCTGCCAGGTACGGGATTTAATGTGGAATAGCTTTAACTTGTTACTCCTCTTAGCTAAAGACAACTGCAGCATTGGAGGAAAATTTTTATCAGATTCCTAAGCATTTTAATAACTTTTAAACATTGGTCTGTGATTTGTTTCTTCTTATTTTTTAATCTTCACCCGAGGATATTTTTTCCATTGCTTTTCAGAGGGAGTGGAAGGGAGAGGGAGGGGTGGCGGGAGGGAGAGATGTGAGTGAGAGAGACACATCGGCTGGTTACCTCTCACACACGCCCTGACCAGGGCCGGGGGTCGAGCCTGCCACCGAGGTGTGTGCCCTTGGCCGGATTCGAACCCGCCGGGATCCTTCAGTCCACAGGACAATGCTCTAACCACTGAACAAAACCAACTAGAATGGGATATACCTTTTTTTTTTTGAAATTGACTTTTACAGAGAGGGAAGGGAAAGAGAGAGAAACATCAGTAGGTTGCCTTCCGACCAGGGATCGAATCTACAGCCCAGGCACGTGCCCTGACTGGGAATGGAGCCCACCTCTTGATGCATAGGACGGTGCGCCAACCAGCTGATCCACCTGGCCAGGGCTCATTCGTTTCTTTTATTTTTCTTAGTCAACATTTCTTGAGTGAGGCCTCAGAGCCCAGTGCATATAGGATGTTTATATATACTTAAAACATCCCTGCACTGGCATAATTTGTACTTAAGAGGTTTATTGTTTACAAGTTTAAAATGTATTTTTCATTTATTTAAAATGTATTTTTTCTTCATTTAAAATGTATTTTTTTTTATGCCAGAATTTAGTTTGGTTTTTAAATTGATTTATTGATTTTAGAGAGAGAGGAAGGGGGAGAGAGAAAAAGAGATACATCAATTTGTTGTTCCACTTATTTACTCATTCATTGGTTGAATCTTGCATGTGCCTGGACCAGGCTGGAACCCGCAACCTTGGTGTATCTGGGATGACACACTAATCAACTGAGCTGCCCGGCCAGGCCTTAAAATTTTGGTTTTTAATTCATGTCTTTATGTAGAACCATGCCTCATTTAAAACATTCTTATTTTAAATTAGAAGGTGGAAGCAGGAACACCTGGCACGATTCCCTTGAGTCGACTCCCTGCTGTGAGTTTCCTGGTGACAGTCCCCAGTCCTTGAACACAGACCTGCAATCCGTGACCTCGAGTTTGGGAAGTATCGTGGATCAGTTGAGCACAGAGTCTCCCGACTGGGAAAGCAACCTCAGTGGTGAGGTGGAAGGTGTCCTGCAGGAAAATAACGACCCGGAGGCATTTAGTGTGCTGGAGGTGCCTGAGCCCGCCCCTGACTCACTCAATGGAGAAGACAGCAGTAGAACGGAAACCTCACGATGGGACCGGGCCAGCGAGATGGAGCTATATGGTGGGGTGTTGAATTTACCGTTGCAGCCGAGGGAAGGCGTGGAAGGTGGCGATGTCACAGAGACCAAGTGGGAGCCTTGTCCTGCAGATGATGGATCCACTAGCCGACAGTCACCTTGCCAAGAACAGGACAGCTCTACTGAGGCCCAGGAGGTGGGGGGCTTGGAGCCTGAGGACCCTCAGAGCACACTGGCTGAAGCCCCTCTCCTGGACTTGCTCCCAGTGCCTTCCAGCCTCAGCTGGGCCCCCAGTGCTGAGAGCTGGCTGCTAGAGGCCAAAGATGACAAAGGCGGCACTGAGGAGACCAGTGGAGAGCAGGGCCTCCTGACACACATGGAGGCCCCTGGCCACCTCGGCTCAGATCCCTGCCACACCGTCCCAGACGATGACACAGGCCAGGAAGCAGTGGTTACTTCTGAATGTGACTTGGGGAGTGTGGGCGGAAGGCTGATTCCCCCGGGCTCTGCGTTGGCAGCCAGCACCCATGAGCCTCGCCCTGAGCATTCCTTACGGGATCCGGTGCTGACGTCCAGCGACGAGGAGGACATCTATGCCCAGGGGCTGCCCTCTTCCTCCTCAGAGACGAGTGTGGCGGAGCTCGGAGGCAGCCGCTCCCTGCAAGACCTGAGCCAGCTGGCCGCCGATGACACTGGGCTGCTGAAGTCAGATCAGGTGGGTGGGCTTCTCTCTTTAGGGAAACCATTGGCAACCTGGCTGTTTTCCTTCTTATGGTAAGAAATTGTATTTCTGCTGCAAAACCTGCAGGCCATTGTTTGAAGTCTGGGTTGGGGGATTTCTGTTTCAAGGCCCATGGATGGCCTGGATTGTGTGACCTGCATTCCTGCTCAGGAACCGAGTGTGCAGCAAAAGCAGCATCCACCAGCACAGGCACTTAGTGTGGGTCACCCTGGGGAAGGGCTCAGTCGGCCGGGGCCATTCCAGAACACCAGTGGGCAGAGGACCGGCCCTCACTGGGGAGGAGGCTTGGAGCAGGTGCGAGGCCGGGACTGTCCTCACCTCGTCTTCTTCAGAGAGACATGCCCACGGATGACAGCAGGAACCTGGCCCTTTCCTGACGGCCAGCTCCTCAGCCTGCGGTATTGGTCCCAAGGCCCCCGCTGGGGTCCAGCGGCCTGTGGGCCTTCCAGCCCCATGAACAAGAAGGCAATTATTAACTGCCGTTGGTCATTTTATATAAAAAGTACTTTTTAATCAGTGCTTGCTTTACTTAGCAGGTAATTACTATTGGAGGTATTTGGTTTGAAAAGGAACCGTGTGCTGTGACTTTCCCTGCTAAGTAGACATGAGGTGCAGGTTATGAGTGTGAACTGCAGCCATGTGTGCTTGCCCCACATGTCTTGCTGGCCTCTCAGTGCCAATAATGGGTGACACGTGGGCAGCTCTTGCATGTGCTGGGCACCATGCCAAGTACTTCACAAGTTTAATTCTTCTCTAAAAACAAAGCAAGCCAGGAAGTAGGTCCCATTGTCCCCACTTGACAGAGAAGGAAACTGAGACTCGGGACAGTTGAATGGCTTACACATAGCGAGTGAAGGGCAAAGCTGGCCCCAGACCCCTCGGCCTCTGTGCTGTCCTGTCTCGGAAGTGGAACGTATGGCTTACCTGTTTTGAGACCAAGTGCCTTCGTCAGTGTCTCGTGTGTTCATCTCTTCTGAGTGCCTTGGCTGCTGGGCTGTTCAGTGCTGGGGATGCTGCAGTGCACGTGACAGCTAGTTGTGGATGGTGGTGAGCAAAGCACAGGACTGTGACTGCATTGCCAGGCAGGCGAGGTCTGTGGGGTGGGTGCTGGGGGTTCTAGGCCAGAACTTTAGAAAAGCCTTTCCCCAGGGGAAAGGGAGCCTGGTATTCCAAGGACCTCTCCCCCACCTTCGTGACCCCACCTTCATGCCCCCCCGCCCCCGTGCCTCTCCACGTAGCTAGAAAGCCAAAAAATGTTGTGGGGTTTTAGGTGACGGATAAGGCTCGTCCTGGTGAGCATGGCCAGATTGGGAAGGGTGGAGCACTGTTCTCTGAAGCAGTTAACTTACACATGTCAGTAATTGTGCAAATACGTTGATTTATGTTGCAGAAATACAAAGACTTTATTTAGCTTTGATTTTCAAGAGTCCTAGCAAGTAAACCTTAGTCTACAAAATTCCACCAGGCAGTGTCCGCGCCAGATTTCCATGAGCCATATGCTCTGTGTGCACGATGATTGGAACAGGGTTTCAAAGTGTGGTTTAAAAAAACACAACAAAGACAGTGGCAGAGCTGCTTCTCCTGCCATGTCGGTAGTAATTTGATGTACAGAACATGTCTCCGTGTGAGGTGAGCGATACCTGTGGAACAGAGCCAGGTCCTTTTCATGTCAGCGTTACATTAGCAAGGACGTCGTAACATGACAGTGTTATCCAGGGTGCTGTGGGGCCTGTAGAGGGGGCGCTTCCATTCGCCACACCCCAGAGATAGTGAGGGCAGGTCTCTGCATGGCTTCTCAAAGATTCTCGCAGCTCAGTACAGCAGACGCAGCTGTGTCATCTGCCACAGAACTCACCGGGCTCTCCTTAGTTTGCAGAAAGCTGGATGGGCTACTCCGGCCCCGGCTATGGCATTCTCAGCCTGGTGGTCTCCGAGAAGTACATCTGGTGCCTGGATTACAAAGGTGGCCTGTTCTGCAGTGCATTGCCGGGCGCCGGGCTGCGCTGGCAGAAGTTTGAAGATGCCGTCCAGCAGGTGGCAGTCTCACCCTCAGGTTTGCCCTTGCCCTGCTTCCTGCCCCAGGGTCACAGCCCTAGCTCCAGGTCCCTGCAGCCCACTCAGCAGGCTTAGCTTTTCCTGCAGGTGTGAGGGCTTTTCTCCAAACAACATGAATTGTTTCATTTTATGTCAGTTAGTGTAAATAGATGTTCCGTTTTTGACTTTTTGGGTTTTTATTAATTGCAGTGGAAACACATGAAAGTCTTTTTTGTAGGCTGTACTAATAGTTTGAATTTTGAGCATTTTGGGGGAGATGTTAACATACTTCTTATAAAAATAAAATGCATTTCTGCTTCTTAGTGTTGCTTTAGAGCAGCTGAACTAAGGGAGATGGGCCCATGCATATGTTGAGTATGTTCAGACCATTGGGATTCCTTTTTAGAAATTATTTTTAAATGAGCTGTACATATATATATATATATATATTCTTTGGATGAGTAATCTAATGCCTGACCTTAAAAAGAAAAGGCATTCATTCTCTGATGTCACTGTCAGGCCACTTTTACCAAACAGGAGGAGGCGTTTCCTGAGTGAGGTGCTGCTGGGATGAGACACCTGCTCGTCTGTTTTGTCCTGGTGTTCCCCACTTCTCCTGATTGGGGGCCAGGCAGGCAGAATAGTGTTTCTGTGTATCTGCCTACAGTACCTGGTTTATCGCCAGGACCTTAGAAGGGAAGTCAGACAGAACTGTGAGTGTGACCTTGGACTGTCCTCTGTGGCTTTGCAGCGGATTTCCCTGAACTCTCCCTGGGCTTTGTCACTATTTAAAGCACTAGTGTCAGGGTGGCGCTGTTTTATCTCTTTCCTTGTTTGAAAAATAGTTTTCCTTAGAGACTGACTGAGATAATAATAACCTGCTCCATTAGCTGGCATCACATAGTTGTGTGTTTTATTTCTTTTTCTGTCATTTACTTTTGGGTTCATCTCCTCGGCCAGTTAGAAACTTTGCTTCTTCCCTGATTATATTAATTACCTTGTGTTTCCAAATCGTTCGGCCCCTCGTTGCTCTAAGAACTCTGTCTTCACCAGGTTGGTGTCCTTGGCTGAGATGGGCTCAGGGGCATGTGTGCAGTGAGCACCAGAGACTCAGGGCGCCCTGCGGGCGTGGCCGTCTGTCCTGATTCTGCTCTCCTTGGTTCGACCCTGTAGTCCAGCCAGGCTGTGCTCTTGGTCATTCCTGGGCGGCTTCTTACACTTTGGTGCTGGCCTGTGCCACACCCTCCCTCTACAGAGTGCCCCCTGCCCTCCCTCCCGCCAACCCTCCCCTCTTCTTGCTATTTATCAGAATCACTTTCTAAGTGAAGGAAGCACAGCCCGGTTCAGGTGCTTCCTCTCCTTGCATCTTGTCCATTTAGCTGGTGCAGCAACTCCTCCGTTTGAGGACATGCACTGTGCCTCACGATGCTAACTTGGGACTCATCTCGGCAAGCCTAAGGATGTTGGCCATGCCTTGTCCCATGTGACGAGTGCCTGTGGGGTGCCCAACTCTGTGCTGGGCTGTTTATCTGGTCTCACCTTGTTTCACAATGAGGAAATCAGGCTTGGAGGCGTTAAGTGACATGACACCCAAAGCCACATAGCTGGCAGGTGGTGGCCAGAGGTTCAAACTTGGACGCACTGAGGGCTCCTTCCCCAGTGAGAGTTGAAGCAAAAGGGATGTTTTAGAAATCTCTCTCCCCGCAGCACCCAGAACGGAATTTTTTCTATATAATTCTCACTAGAATTTCTATTTGCATAGGAGCCCTTCTGTGGAAGATTGAACAGAAGTCTAACCGGGCTTTTGCTTGCGGCAAAGTGACCATCAAGGGCAAGCGGCACTGGTATGAGGCGCTGCCCCAGGCCGTGTTTGTGGCGCTGAGCGAGGACACCGCCTGGGTCATCAGGACTAATGGAGACCTGTACCTGCAGACAGGTAACGGTGGGCGGCGCTCAGGTGTGATTGCTTCTTGCTGCATCTTGCTTCGTTAGAATGACCAGATGACTAAGAGGCTAAACAGCAATTTAAATTAACACACTTCCAGAAAAAGAGTATTGCCGTTCGAATATATTAGCAGTTTCCTGCTATTGATTCACATTCAACCCAGAACAAAGAATTTAGGGCAAGAATGAGCAGGATCACCTGCCATTGTGGCCCAGTGGTTGAGCATCGACCAGTGATCCAGGAGATCCCAGTTCAATTCCCAGTCAAGGCACATGTCTGGGTTGCAGGCTCAATCCCCAGTGTGTGTGTGTGGGGGGGGTGTGCATGAGGTAGCCAATCAGTGACTCGCTCATCATTGTTGTTTCTAGCTTTCCCTCTCCCTTCCTTTCTCTGAAATCAATAAAATATATTTTTTTAAAAAAGGAAAGAAAGAACAAGATTGCTTAGTGAGGTACAGAAACAGTCTTATTCACAGCTAACCACTGCGTGTCTCTTAACTGCAGCAGCAGGTCTGAGGAAAGAAGAGCACAGAGGAGACTCGGGAACTCTTTCCCTGTGGCTGTGGCTGTGGCTGTGGCTGTGGCTGATTTCCCAGCCAGGTCACAGCCGGATTCTCTGCACGTATTTACATGTGGGTCAGGAAGAACCAATGAGAAATAATTTGCTCTAAATAGCAGTTCAAGGAAACTGCCCTGAGGGGAACCTTTAGCTGCTGCAAGAGGCACAGTGGGACTTGTTTATTAAAGTAAACTAAGGAGAGTCAGTGTCTGTGTGCTGTCAGCAAAGTGGGATATGAGTTTCCCAAAGCATCAGATTCACCAGGCTCTGGGAAGGATTAGGGGACAGGAGCTCTTTCTTGGTTGTCAAGAGACCATATTGGATTTACGTAAAGATCAGTCTTCTGACCACTTAGTATTGCTGGTCCCGAGAGAATGTTGTAATCTGTTATGAACTGTCAGGGCTGACTCCCTGGGATTCAGAGCCCTGGCGCACCTGCCTCACCCTCAGCAGGCATCCCCGAAGCTCCTGCCTGAGCCTTGGGGGCAGCTCATCAGCTCCTGGGTCGTGGGCCAGCCCTGGTCTCTCTGGCCTAATTCTGTGTCTCCCCTGAAGTGGAAATAGCTCTGGGGCATTTCAGTTTTGTTCCTGGTGGGAAAAAGGTGCTCCTGCCTGGGGGTGAGGAGTGGGTGACCTCCTAACCAGCAATGCCTTGGGAGCCCCAGGGCAGCGGTTTCAAACGAGCCCTGTTCCACCCAGACCTGCTGGGTTAGAGTCTCGGTTGCCCAAGGGTTTGTCGTGCAAGAAGTCCTACCGGTGATTCCCACCTAGTTGGTGCAAGGAAGTGCACCCCAAGGCCTGCGACTCGGCAGGATGTGTGTATAACCAGTGGGGAGTACATTTAAGGCCACAGAATATGGGGTTTTAGGTAATAGCTGTTCTGCCAGCTCCCCTGGAGTGGCCTCCTAGCTTGTTGGACAGAGGCTGCCAGGAGGCAGGACAAGAGCCTGGATGGGAAGTCACGGGTCCTGAGGACTGGTCCTGCCACAGCCTTGAATGTGATGGACCATGCTATTCACCTAGGAAATTCGGGGTTTTCATTTTAGCAGTGGAATACCTCCCATTGCTACACACACACACCAGGTAAAAGCAGGGAGAGGGGCTGCTTTGATAGAACTGCTCTGAGAGGGTGGTTGGAGGCTTCAGATGCCTACCAGCCCAGTGGCAGCTGTGGCCCCTCTGCTCACCCTGAGGCTCCGAGGGGTACAGCTGCCCCTCAGGGAAGGGCACCTCAGTGCTGGCTGCTCTTGGTCTGGGCCCTGTTTTTCAGGGTCTGGCTGCTCTCTTGCTCTGTGTGTTTCAGTCCCAAGTCTGTGCCTGATGCTTTGAAAAGCCAGAATTCAAAATGTAGAATTTGGAGTAAGGAATGGTTTATTGATGGAGAAGGCACCAACCTAGAAGACGGAGTCTGGTGCCTCAAATCTGCTTAAGAAAGTGGAGCCCAGGCTTCTTTTATGTCGTGGGAAGGGGAAATGGGAGGGGCAGGAAGTGATGGACCACCCGAGATACCTGGGCGCCAGCAGGGGTCCGAGGAAGATTGTGCTATTTGATATGAGTCTGATCATGCGGTTCCTGCAAACCTTTGATAAACGATCTTTATTTTTGTACATGCTTCCCTTATCTCCTAGGCAGAGGCACTTTCTGGTAAGGGGCAATTTTTGTAAAACTCAAGCCGCAGGCGGAATTCCTCTAGTGATCAGATGTCTACATGCAAGAAGCTATTAGCCTGAAGGCTTGGAACAGCGGACGTGAGGAAGGTGGAGGCGGGCCGGGCATTTCACTCTGGTGCACGGCTTTCGGCCTCTCTCGGGATGTCTGAGATCCCAGATTCTGAATTGTTATTCTTTGGGTTTTCAGGGGGTTCTGAAAAGGCTTCACCTCGATGTTATGTTTCAGCACGATTAACCATTGTATGTTGACTAGACTTCCCTCCCCTTTTTTTATTGAATTTATTGTGGTGACATTGGTTAATAACATTGTATAGGTTTCAGGGGTATGATTCTGTAACATGCTACCTGTATGGTATATTGTGTGTTCACCACCCAGGGTCAGGTCTTCCATCACCATTTATCCCCCTTTACCCATTTCCCCCCCACTCCCCTTCCCTCTGGTAATTGACGAGACATTTTATTCGTTTATTTATTTATTTTTAATTCTCTCCTGAGGATGTGTTTTGTTGATTTGAGAGAGAGAGAGAAACCCGTACACAGTTGCCTCCAGTACACACCCTGACCCGGTTAGAGCCTGCAGCCTTTCGGTAAACGGGACAGTGCTCCAACCAGCTGAGCCACGCTGACCAGGGGCTGACTAGACCTTTTAAAAAAGCCCTTACTATGCCCTGGTAGGTTTGGCTCGGTGGTTGGAGTGTTGGTCCATGGACCAAGAGGTCAGTTTGATTTCCCTTCAGGGGCCTGTACCTGGGTTGCGGGTTCAATCCCCAGCCCTGGTTGGGGTGTGTGTGGGAGACAACTGATCCATGCGTCTCTCTCACCCCCTCCC